AGGGGTTAGGCGTTAGGCCTGTTGATACGAAACTACATCAGTATATATTTTTTGGCTGCTCTTGCTGTACTTGGTGGAGGCGGTGTTGGCCATGGTAGTGGTGATGGTGCAGTAGTGGTTCGCAACATCCTTGGCTTCCAAGAAGCGCCGCGGGTAGGCCGTGAGGCCACATGGACCTTGTATGCCCCCCCCCCCCCGTCTTTCTACAGGGCGAGGACGAAGTGGTTCATCGGGTTACCGCGGCAACACGGTGTGTGGGCGAATGCGAGGGGGGCAAGGACTGTTCTAATATACCTAGTCCCCGGGTTGCGGGTCTCTGTTTCTGGTGTTTGCCTACTAGACGTCGTGGCTGGGCGTTAGATGGAACGTCCAGTCGTTTGAACCGGGTGATTTTAAACCCACATTTTCCATCTGGGTCACCTTGGTTGCCCTCCGTGTCTTTTCGGCTGGGTCGACAAATCCTTTGAGGCCTATCCCGTGCCCAAACTCTCCCGTGTGTGTGTTCTTGTAACGTAGGTGTCTCTCGCTCTTGTTTTTTCGCTCCCACGAACGAACGTGTTTCAAGTCCACTCGCACTGGGTGCAGCTCGCCCCTGCTACATGTCTCTTTTTTCGCTGACTGACCTGTTCCGCCGACAAGCGGTCTTCCGGGAAAGGCTCTAGCAATCCCTCCAGCAGGGTTTCCACAAGCTGGCCGCACGGCACCCGTCCTTGGAAGGCCACTTCCATCCTGTTCGGACGGCCAACAACACACAGCAAGCAACAGCAAAGCCGTCAGTTGCAAAAATAACACACAGCAAACAAGCGGCCAATCAACAAGGTGAAACAGTCAGTTGCGGAAAACTACACACAGCAAGCGAGCAGCCAACCAGTCGACACGGCAAAGCCGTCAGTTGCAAAAAACAACATACAGCGAGCAAGCAGTCAGTCAACGCGGCAACGCCATCAGTGGGTGTTAGTTGCGGAACGACCGATTTGGAGACGCTTACGCCTGGCAGGCTCAGCTCGTCAGTTGTCGCACGTCAACGTTGGAAATGGCCAGACAACGCACTTCGTCCTCTGGCAGCAAGCAGGCCCGCAGAGGGGAAGGTAAATACTATCGCCCTTTTTGTGTCGGAAGAGACGATGGTGCTCTTCAGCCCTTGCCCGAAAGAGAGACAAAAGGGGGTAAATCTCTCCATCCTTACTCGGAAGAGAGACGGAAGGGGGTACAACTCTCCATCCTTACTCGGAGGAGAGACGAAAGGGGGTACAACTCTTCATCCTTACTCGGAAGAGAGACGAAAGGGGGTACAACTCTTCACCCTAGCTGGGAAGAGAAGCAAAAGGGGGTACAGCAGTGCAACGCGTCTCACAGGGCGGCCAGCGGGGCGCGATGCGGCACACCACAGCCATACCCGGCCGCCTCGAAACCGTCCGGGTTACGGCACGGAACCCCCCAAAACCGGTACATCGCACGTAGCAAGCTTCCCGTCCCCCTCTCTCGCATTGCCGCAGCAGTGGCGACGGGCAAACAGGAGGCGCCATGCACATACTCCATCCGAACGATTCAACGCATCATCTGCGCGGTGTTCTCGAGTCTACTGCAACTGGTCTTCTATATACATGCATACATACATACACTCATACACACGTGGAGAGGTGTAAGAAACGCTGGGGCGGGGGAATACGCGACAAGAACACACCCCGTTCGACTTTGGCTATACGTATCTCGAACGGGTAGTCTTCCTGTGATTGTTACATATATTCTCTAAACCCCGAGAGTCTTGCCTGGCCGCCTGGAAATCGCTGGGGTGACGTCCCCCGGACAGAAGAAAAAGCACGGTGCCGCCGAGGGCGTAGAGGTCCGACTCCGCCACCGCCTCGCCACGGAACTGCTCGGGAGACATGTACCTGCCCACACACCATACACGCCGCCGAGAAAGGCACGCCGACCAAAGTACCGGGAGGGTGGGGGGGGCGACAGACGGCAGGGGAAAATGTTTCACAGAAAGACGACACGCGAGGGATAAAGGGTCGGGGTCGGGAACGGTGATCGTTGGTTGCACGAGTACATGACGACATGGTGTTGACTTGATTGAGTCTTTTCTCCTTTTTTCAGTTCTATGGCACTCTGAACAAACACGGGGGTGAAGGCCCTGTCGTCGTCCAACTTCTCCGCGTCGGTGGTAGTGATTCGTGTGCAAGACATGCACACAAACGCGCTGCACACCCAAGACAACAGACATCACACACCCGGCGACAAGACCGTTGACTCAAGACCGTTGACTCAAGACCGTTGACTCAAGACCGTTGACAAAAGATCGTTGACACAAGACCGTTGACACAAGACCGTTGACACAAGACCATTGACACAAGACCGTTGACTAGACCGTTGTCGGTGCCTGAACAAGCCGCTTGCGCTCTTCGACCACAGCTGTTTGCTCTTTCTCAAACCATGAAAAAACTCTCTAATGCGCAGGCAGCAACGCGCGTGCACTCACAGACGGGGGAGGTAGGTCGCGAGGATGCACGCAAAAAAGGCACACGGCACCCCCCTACCCCCAGAAAAAAATCAGACTTGCGCCGTGCTTTGTCACCTGCAAAAGGGTTACATGGCATGTATGTTCAACGATTCTTCCACCACATGTTCAACGATTCCATGTCATGCGTTCAAAGGTTCTCCCTCGTGTCTTCAAAGTTCACTCACCCGTAGGTGCCGATGACGGTGGAGCTGGGCTTGTCCGTGACGGCGCCTTGCACCCCGCCGAAGTCCACGAGAAACACGCGGCCCCCAGAGCTACCTCCCTCGATCACGATGTTCTTATCATCATTCAAGCAGGAAAATTATTCGCCGGTCGTCGTGCACGCGTGCGTCCATGCGGAGAGAGACGGAGGGGAAAACGTTGGATAGAAATGACGAAGAGAAATAAAAACAAACCACTAGCGTTGATGAGAACAACGAGGCGCAACGTCGATTCAGCTTGCCAATGTGTGACACGCAAAACCGTTTCTGGGCCTCGAGTTGTCGAACTGAGAGAGACGATGACGAATGCAATGGAGGCGGGGGTGGGGGGGGGGGGGGCGGTGCGCAACACGCCGGTAGGTGTATGTATCACAACGCCACCAGCAGAGCGCGCTGCACCGGCGCACATACGCGCACCGCTGTCCCTCCATCCGTCGCTCAAGCAAGGTCTACTTAAATGCTCTCACAAAAAGCAATCGGCAGGCATGCCGCCTTGACCGGAAACCCTCGAATCCTAACGGTTCCTCCCCGAGTTGGTGTCGCAAACAAGAAGTCGACACGCGGTACATTGGACGCCTCAGGCAAATTTCGACTGCCGAGTTCTTCGAACGAAAGGCACTCCATCCAAAATCGGCGGAGGCTACTGCTGTTCCGTATGTATATGTTTCTTAACGCTTAGGAAACATACGCTGTTGTGCGGAGCATCCCCGGAACTTGGGCCTCACCTCCGGCTTCAGGTCGCGATGCACGATCGCCGGCCGCAGGCCGTGGAGGTACACGAGGATCTCTAGCACCCTCTCCGCGATCCGCCGAACCTCGGCCTCGGTCGGCCTCCAGCCGTCTTCCACCATCTGCTCTAGCGTTCTTCCCGGGGCTGCGGTGTCATTGTCGGCGTCGTCGTTGTTGTTGCCGACCGGTAACATGTGCGGCCAAATAGTGGAGGGTGGAAGGGGGGGGGGGGTCGTCGTAGCCGATTTTGTTGGTGTTTTGCCGACCGGAAACGTGCACGGTACGAAATATGTGGAGGGCGGGGTTGGGTATGGGTCGTTTTCAAGTCTATCTGGCCTGCCAGGTGTCGTCATGCTTGGTCGGCCGCCTCCGTCTCGGTGTCTGTGTCGCAGTCGGCGGTAGATTGCCAATGGTGATGTTGTCGTGGATGTGTCAAGCGTAAAGAACGAGGGGACAAGACATCGAGGGCAGGGGGAAGGCAGGATTTCTCTTCGAAAGACCGGAGCCCAATCGCAGCACAAACATTTCTCGGCACCGCTACATCTCTATGGCCAGCAGTCGGGGGGCCAAGCGCTTGGAAACCAAGGGCGGCGGGATTTCTCTTTGTTGCGACAAATCACTTCGGTCCCAAACGCCGGTTATAAGCGAGAACGAACGCCGTTGGGTGTGTGTGGATGTGCGCGGCATGTTCGAGACGCCCATAAAACACGACGGTGAGCGGTGAGAGTCAAAAGCAGTGTCCGAAGACAAGGGCACGCTCGGTGTACACGCACGTGATTACGCGCGTGCATGACTTCGTTTCGATAATGTACTGCCATCTGCCTGGAGCTTCCGTAGTCTCTATCCAGAGGCAGCCCCGTTTCTATCGTATCCCGGCCGGGGGGGACAGCTACAGCAGCTACAAAGGTGCGCGTGTTCCACCGCCCCACTCTAGCTTGCCCACCTAGCTGCTGCACCAGAAGAAATGTCTTCCCTCGCTCCTCGCTCTCCTCCTCGAAGCAGTCCAGGTACCTGTCAGGCAGTCGGGTGCCAGGAGGAGGGGAAGCTGTACTCGTAGCAAAAGCATGGTCGCGGTGTAGGAAAATTATGCCCAGGGCTTCGGATGGGAAAATGGGGCGGGGGGGCGCTAAGCTGACTTTCGCTCCAAACCTTGTACCGATAAAACACGGTACAGTAGGCCGGGGGGGGGGGCTGCTTTTGGGGTGCACGCTGTAGGTTTGGCGGTGTGGGCGTACCTTGAAACGGGGGCATTCCCGGGGCATGGCGTTCCCGTCTACAAATACATATTTCACTTGAGGGTGCATGTGTCGAAAAATATACCAGGTATATTGCTCGCCCCCCTCGAGCATGCAATTCAATGCTCTGGAGGCTGGTCCTTGAGAGACTACAACTACACAGGAGCTCGTTTCCCTGCAGAACACGCGGGTAGTAGAAACGTGCCGTTCCTGGGGGGGCAAAAAGGAAGAGAGGGAGAAAGAGAGAGGGAGAATGATACAAACACTGACTGCCACAGGCGGCCCGTCCATCATGGGCTTTGGACCGGCGTCGTCGAAAGCAACGTGTCGAGCACATGGCGGCAGCGAGAAAGAGTTGCGCCTCCCAACACTATGTACCGCTGACCTGCAGATATGACACTAGTACAACAATAGGGCCGGCGGTTACCGATGCGTCTGATTCCCCCCCCGAACCTAGGTTGTCCATAGCCCCTGAAGATTTCTTAACGCTCACAATCCCACGCGGTTGAGAAATTCATATTTTCCGACGGGACTCTCGTCGATCTGTGGGTACTTCAACGAGGGAGCTTGCTGGTCACGTACTCGATCTTTTGACGCTTTCCGTCAGATCAGCCGTCAACCCTACTCCAGGAGCACACTAGGTCCATCGACGCCGTTCCTCTTGTGCAATCCGCGGTCTGCTAGTCTGACCGAGGCCTGCCTGCCTACCTGGGTATCCCCGGATGTCTCAAGCCCTTGAGCACCTTAGCCTCCCTCTGAAAGAGATCCAGCTGCTTCCAGTTCTTCATATCTCGCAACGTTAGCACCTTTACAGCGACCTCTTCCGCCTCCTCCCCCTCCTGTCCTTCCTCCTCTTGCCTGAAACCACGAGAAACACACGAGAGACGGCGTATTTTCGATTGAAAACCACGATGGACTGCATTCGCGTCGGAGCAATCGTTTCCACGTGTCTCGGTCACGTACGCCTGCCGGCCTTCGAGACGAGACCCCCTCCAAAGTGCGCCAACAACCAAGCCTTTACCTCCAGCTACATTCGACAGCGAAACACATCAAAAACGAGCGATGTCGAAAAAGCGGTTCACGCAGGTGAGCACAGCAGTAGGTTCCAACACTCCTACCTACTGGTACTTTTAGGGAGGACGTAGAGACAGAAAACCGAGAGTCCTGCTTGCGTTTTCGCGTGTTGCTCATGATGCTTCCATTTCGCACTACAGTACTTGCCGTTGGCTTTGGTGTTGTGCATCGCCGAGGGTGTCCCCGGGCGAACGATCCTCTCCCTGCTGCTGCCGACCTTCTCGCGACACAGGCGCCGGTCTCGGAGCCGGTGGGGGTGTTGCATCTTCCCGCCGCTGGCGGCGCAAGGTGGTGGTGGTGGTGCAGCGGTAGGTGGACGCGGTGCTGCCGGTACCCAGCAAGCTCTGGACCAGGTACCGCCCGCCTCCCAAGGATTTCGGGAGGGGGGAGGGCACTCTTGTGCCGTCGTCGTCGGGTATGTTGTCGCTGTTTTGGTCCTCGTCCCGTTGCACAGTTCGCTCAGCGAGTTCCTCTTGTTGAATCTGCTCTCCTCCGTCGGCGCTCTGCATTCTGGTGGGTACGTGGCTGGTGGGCTGCCCGTGGGGGACAAGCGATGGGATAGGGCCCGTCTGGCGGGAAGCAGAGGTGACCCTCCTGCTGTAATAGCCGCCTCTGCTCCTGTATCTGTCGCGTGAACTATGAGGGCGCGGAGGAGAACGTGCGTCGGAATCCTGTATCATGTTGCTCCGCGAGAGAGCTTCTGACCCACCCCTGCTGCTGCTGCTGCTGCTGCTGCTGCTGCTGCTGCTGCTGCGAATGCCGCTAGGCAGAAGGAACCCCCCCCCGATGGCGCAGCAAATGGCGAGGAACAGCAGGAGGGTCGGCTTGGCGGCAGGCAGACCACGAGAGAAGACCATGGTTGCCTTGTGAAATGGCGTCCCTCACCTCCCTCTCGCTCGTTCTCCGCTGCTCAAAGCTGATCCCGTTCCAGCGCCTTGCTCAAATTTGCGAATATCCTAGCAGTGAAACACGTGTCACCACCCCTTCGCCGAGAACAAGTAAGCGCCTCAGGCACGCGACAGGGATGCTGACCCCAACCCTAAGCGCGTGCTGGTCCACCCCAGCGCGAGCTGCACCAGCGAAGGCGGTGTACGTGCTGCAGCAAAGCAGCAGACTTTGCAGCATCACCGCGGCGGGACTGTCATTTTAACTCGGGGACCGCAAGCATTCCCCCAACTCTCATCCTACTTCCTACCATTCTGTGGTTCCCTCCGTTAGGCCCGCGTACGTACGCACTGGTACGGGGTTGTCGTAACTTGTGGGGGGAACCTCGGCAGATCCACCTGAGAGATATCCTGGGCCGGGCAGAGTGCTAGAGGCCAGATGCCGAAATGCCGAGCTGCGAGGAGACTACATATAGACTGTTGAGAGAAGAGCGAAGAATGGGAGAAAAGCGAAAGAATGACAGAATCAACACGCCGGTTCTCTCAGCTCTCATCCTGTGTATGCGTAGATAGATGCGCAGTCTAAGCATGTATGTCTTGGGGACGAATTCGTGATGAATACCTGCGTCGTGTTGCGTGGCCTTCTTGAGTGTTTGTTGATCATACAGCAGTGATCGTGCTTTACGAGCTTTCCGACGGTATGGAGAAAGGATCAAACAAAGCGCTCGCCTTTCGCCTGGATGGTGCTCTTCCCTGTATTACAGGAACGCGCTTACAGGAACGCGCAACAGACCTCAACTGTTGCACGGGTCCATCGCAGAAAAGACGAGAGAGAACGTAACACACTCCGCCATGATGCAAACATTCGGTTTGACGACAGATGCGCACTCATCTACGCATTGATCACCCGGTTGCCGCGGTCGGTGCAAACCGAAGATTAACTCTACCAAATCCCTTTCAACGCGGCTCGAGACTAGAGAAAAATACAACGACGTGGTACAGCACTTGCGTGCCCAACCACCTATTTAACGGCGTCCTGTTGCGTGCACACTGCGACGGGTGCATACGGCCTTAGCAGGCAGCTCAAAGCTGGCCAATGGAAGTATAATTACTCGGTTTACGCAGCAGACTGTTGTTAAAAAAACAGTAGGTGTAAGACTGCTGTAGTGCGGGGAGCCCAGCGGTAAGCCCTCCCAGTCTTGGCCCTGAAATACTTGACACACGCACCGACCGCTGTCTACTGCTGTTGCCCACGACAAAAACAAGGGCGAGCGCGGCGTTTGGTCCGTTTAAAGCCATTCTGTACACCAGCCGAATGCAACAACAAAGCATACTACTGTACGTAGCACTAGCATTCCAGCACCCGCTGACCACCGATATATTATTGCAAATTGCTGTTGAGGCCGTGGAACAGCCCAGACCCGAACAATGAACCAATGATCTATCATCCATCTGGTCAAGAAAGCAACAAATTGCAACGAGCTCGAGAAGTCAAAGACACACACAACAAAACGACGAAACAGCTCCTCGTTATTTTGCGTAGTATTCGGTGGTAAAAGCCGTCAAGCGAGACAGCGCCGCCTCCCTCAGACCCGAGCCTTCTGGTCGCACGTGTCGGTCCACGAATCCTCTGGCGGCGGTCGGGGTGCTGCTATCCACCTGCGACGCAAACACAGTTGGCGAGGACAACGGACGAGGGCGTACTCATTTTCTTCAACATTGCATTGGCCGACACGCCACCCTATGCATCTCGTCCTTCTCCGTTCCGAACGTCTGGACACAACAGCAGCAGTCACGGGGCGCAAAACACAGACAGACCCAGGTGACCTACATCGACGAAACAAAGAAACACAACTGCTGTGGAGGTCTGATTTTCGAACGTCTGGTTTTCGAACCCTTCAACCACACCGTCACGCCTGTATGCTGGTAGAGCAAAAGCGTTCCAACAAGAGTGCACAGCAAAATCCTTCATAGCCGGGAGCAAAGCAGTCGTTGAAAGCGGTACAAGACTCGAAACCAAGCCACGACAAAAAACGTCATACCCCAACAAAAATAATAGAACTTTTATAATAGAAATTACAGCCTGGCTGGCAACCCCTCAACCAAAAACGCCTTTTTCTTCTTTAGAAAGTATACATACAAACACAGAAAGACTTCCCGTTCGAGATACAACCATAGTATTATAGTCGAAGGGGATGTGTTCAAGTCTTTTGTAGTGAGTGGGAGAAACACCTGCTGGACACTTTTCTCTCCTCTGTGCTGTGTTGGCTCACCCTGCACTCGACGTCGTACACCCCGTCGCAGTCCTGGCCCACGTCAGGGTACATGAGCACCCCCTTCGCGGGGCCGCAGTCGAGGTCCGGCGCTTCCCACTTAAGTTCGAAGCGGAAGTCGAACATGTACCTCTTCTTCCCTCGGGAAAACGAGATCTGGACAAAAAAAGGTATCAATCCATTTATCAACAGAAGATAAATGTGTCAGGTTGACCATGCTTCCCACTTTAGGTCGAACCGGACGTCAAACGTTGTACATCTTCCCTCGCGAGAACGAGATCTGGACAAAAAAAGGTACCCATTTATCCATCAACAGAAGATAATATGTCAGGTGGATGATGCGAGATAGAGAGAAGGGCGTGCTTTCTCGGCGTACCGAATTTTGACCAGTTGGGGACAAAAACCGCTGTAATCATTCCTGATCCACCACCGTCACCCGGAAGAACAAACCAAGCTACCGGAAGCACTGCACATTGCAGACAACCCTCCCTGCATTCGCGTCCAAAACCCACTTCTATCGAGGGGGGCGCGTGATACCACACAACAAGGCACCGACACCTCTTGCCCCCAAAGAAAAAGCGACAAAACAAAACCGCGGACTATGTACTGGAAAGAAAACCTCATGTCCATCGACTTTACTTACCCGACGCGAAGGGCAAAAATGTAAACCTGCGCCGCTGCCGGAAAACCCGCGACGCCGGGGAAGAGGCCAACGCATTCAACCTCGGCGTCCACAGTGAGATTTTTGTACGCCTGAGGCCTCAACAGGGCGCCGATCCTGTCCGTGAAAGCCCTGTGAGAGCCCCCCCCGGCCCCCCAAGAGGCAACAGCTGGTGCAACTCAACGACTACCCTAGATAGAAAAAGCGAAACCACAACTGCTGCTGCTGTTGTTGTTGCTGCTGCCGTTGCTGTTGCTGTTGCCAGGAAGGAAGGACACAAACTACATAACCTACCTCCGCGTCTCCCTCGAGTTTGTCGACCTTCACGACCTTCACGACGCTTTCCGAGGCGTCCAGCTCCACTCCTACCAGGAGCTCTTCGAGACGCTGCTTCGCCCAGCTGGGAGGACACAAGGGGCAAGCAGGCCGGAGGGTAAACCCATCGAGGGCACACAACAGTGAAAACAGGCCGAAGCTCAACGAAATTGGAATAAGCGAGAAGGTTGAACAACGAGACTAAATAAAGGGTGGCAGCAACATCAGAACTTGGATGGTGTGTAGAAGAGGTGGGGTCCCAGGACTTTCGGGCAGGTGCGCAATGAAGCAACGGGTGCCTACCCATGTGTCCACGTGCATAAACAAGCACAGACGGGAAAAGCAGGCCTTAAGCCGGGCAGCACGTAACGCGTTCTGCTGACCCTACATGCCCGACCGGGGATAAGCTCTGCCCCGCCCGCGGCCTGGTTGGCACACCCATGAACGAACGTCACAGCAGCGATGCCACGTCGCCTGCGCTACACCCCACGGTTACCGCCGGTCTGCAGCCTCTTCCCCCAACCCCGACAACGGATAGATGGTTTGCCAAACCGGAGTGTGAGACCGGCACACGAGATCCACGGCTATCCCAACGAAGCGTACGTTTGTTTCTCGCCGCAATATTGAGGACGCCAACGATAGTCATAGTTGGTACCTCGGCGGAAACCTTCTGGTGGCCAGGGTCAGGGGTTCGAACCCCGGCGTAAGCGAGCTTTCTTGCAAAGTGAGTTATTCTCTCGCTTCCGTTCCGTGCCTGGGTGGAAAGCGCTAGTTTGTATGTACACAGAGGGAACAGGGTGCTGCACTCGCGGATGCAAAGCACCGCAGGAGTGGTGGGTAGGGAGCCTCAGGAAGAGGAACCCTTCTGTGTGACCGTGGGTTGGAGTAAACGGTACAACTGCCATGAGTGCTGATTTGACGAGAAGACAAAAAAAAAAAGAAACAGGGGGCCCCGCAAAAGTTCCACAGGTACCAAGGGCCCCAAAACAACCGAGGAACACCACCCACAAAAGCGCGCATTCGTTTCATCCCGATTCCGGTGAGGAGAAAAAACAAGGACAAAACCAACAAATATTTCTTCATTCTTTCCTTCGATGTTTTCGCGATTTCCAGCTGTCCCTTTTGCGATGCTGACGGCAAAGAAGATGATACGTCGAGCCACAAGCCTTGTGCCGACGGCAAGCAAGGCGATGAGTCGCGCCACAAACCTTGTCATATCTCGAGATTCCCAGGTCCCCGCCTTGTTCCAAGCGCTCGCCTCGTTGCCCCCCGCCGAGGTCGAATCTTGCGCGGTTGCAGCGGCGGGCTCCAGCTTCTTGGGAGCAATGTCCCCGATGAGGGCCTTGGCCTCTTCCGTGAGGTCGTTGTTGAAATACGTCGTCTTCTTCCCGTCTGCCGTTATCTTGTACCCCTTCATCCCCGCCCCCGCATCACCGCTACCGCTGCTACCACCACCACCACCACCACCACCACCACCACTAGAGGCGGTGGAAGCTGCCGGCGAAGCAGCGCTAGTCCCGCCGCTCTTTGACGAACCAGCACTCTTTCTACCGCTGCTACCGCTGCTGCTGCTGCTGCTGGCTTCGGTTGGTGTCGCTTTCGTAGGCGACGATGCCGGCGCCGAAGCCGCCGCCTTCTCCGCCTTTTCTACGAGGGGGGCCCACAGCTTGCTCTCCGGCTCGAGGGCCGCCCCCGCTCGGTAAGCCTCTGCGGCCTCCCCCGGCCTCGCGAGCGCCATCAGCGCCTGCCCCTTGCGGTAGTGGCCCTTGGCGTAGGCCGGGTCCAGGCGAAGCGCCTCGACGGCGTTCTCCAGCGCCGGCCCGGGCTTGTTCAGACCAAGCCGCACGGCCGCCAAGTTGCTGGGGGGTGGGGGGGGGAGGAAACGGGCGCGTCTCTTAACACCTCACACACACACGTATCTCTATGCCAAGTCTCATCTGCGGCCCCCCGTAGTCAGATGGGAGGAGGCATGAAAATAATCTTGCTCTGCGAATACGTAGCACGTTCAATGCAAACTCAATGGGTATTCGCTTACACGGCGTAGAAAGTGTTACTAAAATACTATAATAGCGTTTGTTTGCCCCGCCAAGAATGGCGTGTCTTTCATGGTCAACCGGTTTCTGGGGATCGGTGTGAATGAGATAAAACCAGACAAACACGCGCACAGCAAAAAAATCTTCGATATTTTTCACGCTTGGGGGGGTGACGCAATGTCATTGGTGGTCGTCAGCCAGCGGTCGACGCGGTGTACGCAATCTCAAACAAACAAACCTGTACAGCGTGGCGTCTTCCGGCCTGATCTCCACAGCCTTCGAGTAAAGCATCTCTGCCTGGGGAAGGTTCTTCCTGGCGAACTCGGCCCTGATGCCACGCGTCCAAACACACAGAACGGACAAACTCGAGCGTTATTTCGCGATTTCTTTACTTATACTAAACGTCCTGTTAAGTTGTCCAGCTGGCTGACGCCGACAACTCGCAAAAAAGGTCTACACGCATATGCATACGTGACGATGAAGAGAGTTAGCCTGGACCACATGCAGGGCCAAACGGCAGCTCCTGCCGTTTGGCCCTGCATTCAACCAGGAGCTGAGCGGGCTCGTGCGACGACAGCATGCAAGAGCGGCGCGGGAACATGCAAGCGAAGAGCGGTACAATGTTCCGCATCAGACACGTAAACTGCGATGTACAACGCGTGCTCTTCTTCTGTTTAATTCTCTCAGTTCAACGGGGTCTGCAGGAAGCAAGCGAACAACTTTCGTTTCGAGCGGGAGTCGCGGACACCGTGAGGGCAACGCCGGAGCGTGTACCTGGGCAGCGCCGTGGCAAAAGAGCCAGAAGCACAGCCAGCAGAGGCAACAATACAGCCCAACATCTACTGCTGAAGCCCCCAACACCGCGACAGCGGCGCTCGAGAAGAAGCAATGCCATGTTCACCAACGGTGGGAATGGAGCTACACCTAACACAACGGCGAACACAAAGCAGCACCTACAGCAGCACAACACGAACGTCAAGGCGTACACGATGCACACGCACAAGCATTCCACGTCCCGTCGAGGAGTGCGGTTGTTACAGCAGTAGGAGGAGCACGGCGTGCGGCACCGATCATGGAAAGACTAAATTGCGGGTCCTCGAATAAGGCGGTGACACGGCAGCTGGACTGGGGCTGCCGCCATGTTCAATGTGTAGAGAACATCTTGGACTATTCCATGTATGCCAGCAGCCAATTTCACCCGCCTTATATTGAACACTGCGACCGCCTTAAACGTAAGACTGCACAGTAGCCCACAAAGATAAAATGTCGAAGGCTTTCTGGAAGACGTGAAAGTGGCTTCCGTGCCACAAGCCCACGGACGGAGTCAAGAAATGATCTAACAGAGCTCAAGGAACTGCTGTGCCCTCGCTGGAAAATACCTTCGACGTGGCTTTGCGTATCTACGTTTGTCGGACAATCTCAACTCTGTAACGGTGGTGTTTACGGCTTGGGGACAGGCGCGAATGCCTCATCCCCATGTCCTCCCCCAAGTACACTTGCTCCTTAGGAAAAACAACGCCCAATAAAACATTAGGTAAGCTGCAGCAGTAGCCACTATGTATAAAAGACGATAGCAGCAGTAGTGTCTACTGCTGATCGAGGAAGAGATGAAGAGTACGTATCGTCCATGGGGGGGGGGGGGGTGTCTTCCGTGCGCAAGTGATGGACAACAATCTTCCGAGAGCGCTTGGCTACACATTCATGTACCTTTCATCTTAAAAGCGGCGGCACGTGGACAGGGAAACAAGCCGCATACAAGCCGCGGCACTGCTGTAGTTCAAGGGTATTGGACAAAGGATGCCGTGATGCGGCCCACCCGTCCACGCGGCGAGATTGGACGTGCGGCTTTGCTGGCGGGGAAATGCATCGTTCTATCGCCGGACGGTATGTCTACACCGCTACACCGCTAACTGCCGAACAACAGCAGAAGACGCCGTCTCTCTCTAACTCGCAGTACCTAGGTGGACGAACATTGTCCTCCCCTCTACCTCTTGCTGCTGTGCGACTGCACAAGTGCGTGTTACCCATCATCAAGTCCCACACCTAGCTCTGCTCTTGATCTCGTCGCAGAGAGTAGTCTTTCCGGCTTCGTCTGAGGGGGAAGCGCCCATGACGTCGCCATGAGCACCAAACCGGCTTCTGTTGAGCAAAGACGACATGATATAGAAGCGCTCTGCTGCTGCTGCCTCTGCTGCCTCTGCTGCTGCTGCTGCTGCTGCTGCCGTGAACTGGAACGGGGAACAGGCACCAAACTTCCAACAAGCGAGGTTTCCAGAAGCTCGGGGGGTCCACGCAGTCAAGACTGCCAACAATCCCCCCCTCTCGCGGTGTTCGCGGCACGATCCATTTTTGGATCCGATCGAAACGGAGCCAGCCGGGCAACAGGCAGAACAGAGTCGAGAGTGCATGGCGCTGATTACACGGACGGTTTTTGTCCTTTGAGAGAGACAGAGAAAGAGAAAATACGGACGGCTCTAGACCTGTGAGAGACAGAAAGGAGAGAACAAAGAGTAACGCGCTTGACGTGACACAAAAAAAACATTGCGGGGTTCACTCCGCCCTCCCACCAAGGATGACAGACCGCGTATTGTACACGCTTACAGCTCGCCGTTCGTTGTCGTTGTACCAGAAAAAACGCGGTCCAGTCTTCTTCGAATTATTTCTTAGGGTTGTAATCCTTCAAACCCCATGAAGGAGCCAAAAACACTCAACCCTCACAGTACCTATGCCTACAAGGTTTTGGTCAACAACGCGCCTATTATCGCACTCATGCCGTCTTCTCTTTCAAGCATGCGCTCTTCTTGCAGCAATTACATGGTTCACAACAATCTTCGGGATCCGGCTAGAGTCTGGGTACGAGCACGCGAAGGCCTCTGGGGGGAAACGGGACGGTTCTGCCTTGAAACAACAATACCCCCCCGATTCACCTACTAGTCTACCATTGTTTTTGCGAGTCAACAAGCAGACAACAAAAAACAGAACCGTAGCCCGAACACATCTACCGTATAACTTTCCGCAGCACCAGAATACCGGGCAGCGGCAGCACGTCGTCGTACTGCTGATGATGCCCTCGGTTGGCCTAGTTTGGTTTGGGAGCAACCTACCAGATGCCACCCGTTGCTGGTTGTACGCGCATCATCGACGGACAACCAGCAACAGGTACCAGACGGCAGCTTGCACCCAGACCAAACCACACGACCAATCATGCACTCTTGGCGAAACCAAACCACCAACCGGTGCGCGCGAATCAAGCCGCCACCGCCTCGCGAAGACCGGCGAGGAGTTTCGCGGCCGCCAGTTTCTTGGCGGCCTTCTTCCCGGGGGCCGTCCCAGTGGCGTGGAGCTCGCGCAGCGGAGACTCGTAGGACAGGGTGCATACCCACTGGCCGCCCGCCCCCTTGCTCCACCCGTCCTCTAGCGCGGCCTTCGTCTTCTGGGCGAAGAAGTTAATCGCGCTCAGGGCCCCGCCCCCGCCTCCACCTTGCGCCGCCGCGGCGCCGAGAAGCGCCTCGCACGCCCCGCGCTCGCGCGCCCTCTGGGCCACGACGAGGGCGGCGTCGCCCGCGGCCGCGGCCGCGCTGCCGGCCGCGGGCGGCCTGAAGCCCCTCACGAGCCGCTGCTGCTGGCGCTCGACGGCCTCGAGGTCGGCCGTGGTGCGGTCGGGCCTCTCGCTGAGGACGACGAAGCTGCTGTCCTCCTCCCTCGCGCGGCCCCGCCCCTGGACCATGGACACGGCGTGCACCATGGCGTCGTAGCGGACCACGCAGTTCGCCTTGGGGACGTCCATGCCCTCCTCGGCGACAACGGTGGCCAGGAGGAGGTTCACGCTGCCGGACCGGAAGGCCTCGATGCTGGCCTGCGCCTGCGCCTTCGTCACGGAGAGGGAGGCCGTCGCCGGGGAGGAGGAGGCGTACAGGCAGGCCGCGGAGAAGCGGGGCGCCATGCGGGGGTCGGCGGCGATCGCGTGGGCCAGCACGTGGGTCGTCACGCGCTGGACAACGAACACTATGCCGCGGAAGCCCTTCTTTCCGCCGCCGCCGCCGCCGCCGCTGCTGCTGCCGTCTCCGCCGTGGTGGTCGTACTTGTCCAGGAGCACGTTCTTCAGTTTCTCGTACCGAGGGAACGTTCCGGGAACCGCCTCCCAGAAGGCGGAGATCTTTTGCCGCACGTCGCCCGGCCAGACGGCCTCGGACGCGGCGCGGTCGCTCGGGGACCCCGTGCAGCCGAACATGTCGAGGATGGTCGCGGCGTCGTCTTCCCTCTCCTCCCAGGACACGACCAGGACCTTGACGGCCTCGTACCAGTGCTCCAGCTCGGCGAGCAGCAGGTGAAGCGTCGGCCGGGCCGACGACCGCCGCGGTTGTCCGGCGTTCGCGTCGATGCCACACCGGGTACACCGCTTCGTGACGCTTTTCCCGGGAAAACCGCCCCCGCCGCGTATGCCGCGACCGGCAGCAGTCTCGAGAATCTTTGCTCCGCCGCCGCCGCCGCCGCCGCCGCCGGCGGCTTTGAGCGCAAGCTTGTGGGTGTAGGCGCCCCACTCTCTGGGAGCTAGATCCCCGGAGGGGGGCATCGGCGAGGCGAACAACAGCGTTTGGCGGGGCTGCGACGAGGGCGCAGCAGCCTGCGCCGCCTCCGCCGCCGCCGCTGCAGCAGCAGCCGTGGCCTCTTCCATGCCGCGCACGCAGGCCATGAGCAGGCGAGTGAAGGCGGTGCTGGTGCCCTTGGCCTCCCGACGGAAGAAGGTGGTCCCCATCTCGTGCGGCTTCCGGTCGGCCTCGGGGACGACGCCAGCGGGCGCCGCGTCGTCGGTGGTGCCGGCGGAATCGGGACGGGGGCCCAGCAACACCTCGGCCGCCGCGCCCGTGGCGTGGTACCCGCTCGCCTCCAGCTCTTGGCGGGTCGCCGTTTCCGTGGTGGTGATGCGGAGCTCGTGGCACATCCTGGTCAGAGAGGCTTTCGTCTTGGCGTCGCCGACGGCGTAGGAGTAGGAGGCGGTCAGGCCCACGACGCGGGGGTGTGAGCTTGGCCCAGCAGCAGCAGCAGCAGCAGGTGGTGGCGTGAGCGACGATCGACGAAGGCTCAGGGCGAGCTTGCGGTAGGGGTGATCCTTCAGCACGTGGTGCACCTTTGATTTGTCCATGTGCGTGTACGGGGGGAGAGACACGAGTTGTTTTTGCTGAAATGGTGGCAAGATGCAGACGATCATATGTGTGCAGGGGCAAAGCAGACGAGGAAACCCAAGCGCCACGCGCTGTGTGGCACAGCACTCCGTCGGACACGGCAGCAAAAAAACACGTACATGCACAACATGCAATCATACATCCAACAGAGATGATCTTCGTATTTCATATTTTTGCAGCAGATGTACTTTCGTACAAATATATAGGTTTGAGGACGTGAGATTAGTCTGTCGTTGCAAACTCCACTTGGGGCAAAAAGTGCGGGGATAGAGAGGCTCGAACTCTCGACCTTCTGCTTATGAGACAAACGCTCTAGCCAACTGAGCTATATCCCCCCCGCACGTTGAACTGTGAGTCATCCGCAAAACTTGTCTTAGTCAAGAACAAGCGAGTACCTTCGGCCGCCAAAAAACAGAACCGGTACATAACCTAGGAAAAAAAAGGATCACGCACCCAACGAAGAGGCTTCTCAATGCATACCACAACCGTACCGTGGGTGACAGGCACAAGGCAACATTTGGCCAATCAAGAAACTTTGACACGATGTGCATTTTGCGGTATGAAGCGCAAGTTCCGTATCGGTCTCATATTTCGCAACGGAGTACATCATCTTGCTTCATCGGGCAACTTTATGGGCGCAGCAGGTACATGAGACAATGTACACCCGGTTCCAAGCGTTTCTGTGTGTAAAGCGGGGTACACGTAAGAACGGGAGAGTGTTCTTATACCGGGACCGTGGCGCCCGCGGTACATATGTTTCCTTACAGTCTACCGTATGTGTCTATGTTATTGTGGTTCGCTGTTTTCCTGCACGAGAAAAATTCGACCGAGAGAGTGACACCAAGGACGGTGGCTAGCAGGAACGACGGCCGACTTATTTGTTTTCGACTCGAGGAAAAGTGAAAAAAATCCGTTTCGAAATTTTAGTGGATGCGGTGTCACTCTCTTTCCTCTGCTCCTGCTTTTTGTTCGGTGCGAGAAATAAGGTATTGATCGGAATGCAGAGAGACACGCTTGATCAGAGAACGGAGAGGAGATGAACAATCTGTCAGCGGTTCTCTCTGAAAGGGTCACCTTCGGGTCAGCGGTTCTCTCTGAAAGGGTCACCTTTGGGTCACCGGGACAAAAACGACATACAGTGGGGGTCCCTCTATAGTGCGGGTATGTGACACGCGAAAAAACCCGCACTATAGAGGGCACCCGCATTATATGCTTTCGAGCCTGACTAGTGCGGGAAGGCGCACTATTCAGGTTTTCAGAACCCTCAATAATGCGGGTAGGCGCACTATCCACGAAATCACTAGGTTTTAGCATAGGACGTAGCCAAAAGCGAGGGATACTGTATGCAGGTGGCACGGTAGTGCATGTAACAAGTGAGGGAAAAAATGCAGTATCTCTACGGATAGAAGCCTGCATCCGTTCGCAGGTGAGCAGAGAACAGCAAAAGTTGCACATACATCGGGATGTACTGCACAGCAGCGGCAAATATTATACAACCACATCCTGTACTGTACAGAGATGTTACGCAATGTACGCTCTGTACCAAAAAGGAAGGCTGCGCACAGCCCATGTTGTTGTTCCTTGTTCCATTCTGCATTGATAGTTCCGCTTGCACATTAAAAAAACAAGGTTAGGCCTACAAAATGAGACCTGAACTTGCCAAATACGAAACACGTCCGTTCACAAACGAAACGAACACCTTTTCAACACGACCCAGACACACCCACGGAGAAAAAAAGAGAGGGGGGACACTCCAAGAAAAATATAATAGAAACAAGGACCCAAAAAAAAATCCTACATTGTACTTCCCGCACGTTCTACCTCAAGTTTTCCAAGAAAACCCCAACACAACACAACGCCATATACGTTTGGGGGGGGCGGCTTTGAAGAAAAAACGGCAAAGTGAAACTCGCAGACAGTTGACTCATTCAAACACCCGGCAGATCCACTACCAGCAAATTACAGCAGGAGCTGCGTGGGGCAAAACGGCTGGCTGATTGCTCTACGCGTCAAAAAACTCCCTAACATCGGCCTGGCGCGATGGCTTCGATGCATGCGCTTCGATCATCAACATCCGTGCCCTCTTGAGCAAGTAGCTGGCCTCGTTCAAGCTGCACCCTGCCGCGTAGCTTTCCAGGGGGGCGAAGTGTTTGGAAAGTTTGGAGGAGAAGCACGCCGGACAGAGGCGGTTCATTTCGTCCTCGCCGTCCTCCTCCACCTCGCCGCATATACCATGCAGTCTGCCGCCACATCCTCCTCGACATTGGTGGCCGTCGGGGGCTTTGGGTGTGAGGTTGCTAAGTTGGCAGAGTTCGCCTGCTGCACACGGCATCCTGTGCCTCTGCTGCTGTTCCTGTGGCCAGTAGGGGTATGCTGCTGCTGCTATGCGTGGCCGGTAGGGGTGTGTGTGTGTGTGTGTGTGTGTGTATTTATTATTAGCATCGACCGCGCTAACCGGCTGACCAATGAAAAGACGTCAGTGCCAACGGGTAAAAATCAAGGTCCCTGGAATGGGGCCAAAATTCGAAAATTGCGCAATGCGCTAAATGCGAACGCCAATACGACTGTGTGTGTGTGTCGGGAAAATGTGTGGGTTGGCTATCTAGGTTTGACCGCATCTAGGCCGGTGGTGACATGGCGTGACGTCAAATCCGCACTATATAGGGTCTTGAGAGGGGTCAAACCCGCACTATAGAGGGGTGCCCCGAATAGTGCGGCACCCGCACTATAGAGGACCCAATTTGTGCCAAGCGATTTCACCCGCACTATAGCGGGCACCCGCACTATATAACCCGCACTATAGAGGGACCCCCACTGTATAGACGTTGCGGCGAGGGGAAAAAAAAACTACTGCTGTGTACACTTATTTATCATGTATCGCTACAAGTACCTTCTGCTGTATGCTGAAGGTAGAAGCTATGAGTAACGCATTGCATTCACCTCATCGAAGATCACAACCCTGAACGCCGACCACTGCAGATGTCCGATCCCGTTCTGTTGTGCAGTCCTGAAGGCCTGTTCCAGCGTGTAAGGAGAGGCAAAGAAAACAGACGCGGCGGCAAGCGGCGGGTGTCATCAAGACACACACACAAGACTTTGTCGCGCAAATAAGACGACGACCGTCATCAACGATTGCTGTACAATACTGGTGTACATCATCCGATTTTCGTGCAAGTCAATGCTACCTTCACACAGAAGACATGCCCACGCCCAAACCTGCTGCACCACCTCCCCCTCCCTGCTGCGCGAACACCCGGCAGTAACTCTAAACTGCTGTACGCACGTACTCGAACTGCACGCACGGACCTTACCTGGGGAGTGCTCACTAATATCTTGAACGTTGACGGCGGCAGTCCCGCCCCGCCCCTGTACTTGGCCACGCTTAGTCCGGTCCAGGAGCCGAGGGCTTCGGCCTGCTGGTCCACCAAGAGGCATGTCGGCACGAGGAAGAGGGCGGGGGGCCCCAGTCGCTTGATGACCTCGGCCGCGAGGAGGGTCTTGCCCGATCCGGTCGGCAGGACGACGATCGTGTTGTCGTGCAAGCACTTGTTTGCTATGCGGGACTGATAGCCGCGTAGCGTTTTGGCCGGGGCCTCCGCCGCCGTGGTGGCCCTCGGGTTGGCAGCGGCTGCTCCTCCTCCTCCTGCCGCCATCGCATGCAGTGCGTCGATGCGGGTTTGTGCTGTTGTATGAATAATAAGTGTTTCGGAACTCATCGACGCGCTGGCTCTCTCTGTCTCTCTCTCTCTCTCTCTCTCCTCTTCTTTAGACCCGGGCAAGAAGCCTTTCTAACACCACTCTCTCCCTAGCTGGGTGTTACCCCGAGAACAAAGGAAATACGGCCTGGTGACGACTACAGATTTGGCAAAGGGGCTGTCTGCAGGACACGGGCGCCGGCCTGTGGCAAATGAAGTACCGTAATAGTCGGAGAGTTGGCACCGGGTGTGATCGTTTTTTTGATGTTTTTTCCTGTTTTTTTTCACACCCGCGGCGCCATCTCCCGGTGCCACCTCTCCGACCCCAAATGCCAAATGCAATTAAATCATAAAAAAAAAAAACCATTTCGTTTAGAATTTTAATTTTTCAAGTCACACCGGTACGATATCTCCGACCGGTGCGATCTCCGATGAAATACACACAGGTACAGGTGCTGTATGCACGCACCCCGCTCCCATCACCAGTGTAGGTACCCACGCACGCACACGGTCTTCTGCACACATACGCATATAGTATCTGCGCCGGAAACAAGGCAGCGAAGTACACATATACACATATACGTGCCAGATACGTACCCCGAAAAAAGCGGCGAAATACAGTAGTAGCTCCAAAAAAAATCTAGTCGATCTAGACGATGTCAGTCAGTGCGAGAGCGCACACACACAGCCATTGATTGTGCCATGTCAGGGGTACCGCTTCCTCACAGACCAGTGGCAGTACTGTTGATGCTGGTGCTGGTACTGCTGATGCTGCTGCAGCAGCTCCTTCAGCTTCGCAGCAGTACAATAGTTTCGGGTTGTGTAAGGTTGGGTGCGCATGTATGTACGTACATCGTTATGCGAAGGTGTACCGATTCTGGTAAAAGTCAATCGACGGATACCCTGCGAATCGGGTCCTCCTTAACACTCTCCACCCACAGAATTTACCCTCAACTGGGAACCTCTTGTGGCCAGGACGGGAAATTCGATGGAAGTGTCACAAGGTTCTTTATAGGATCGATTCCAAGAGGTGTTCTCAGGACTGACACACATGGTGTCCATGGGAAAATGTCCAAGTCAGGAGAAAAAACGTGCACCCAAGGAGATTCGAACCAGTATCCAGCTGACGCCATATGCGAAGGTGTACCGATTCTGGTAAAAGTCAACCGACGGATACCCTGCGAATCGGGTCCTCCTTAACAGTTGTGTGTTTGGTTGAGTGTAAGGTTGGCAACTTCCATACCAATTAAAAAATGAAAACAACTGGCATCCCGCGTGAACCGCGACCATCCAATCGTACGTAAAGGAGTGGCGCTCCGCTCACACCGTCCCCACCTGTAAAAGGTACGCACATGTACCTCGTTCCGGCAGCTGAAAAGGAGCTCAATCTTGGATTTGGGGGTCGGAGAGATCACACCTGGTGCGATCTCACCGACCCCTGTGCATAAATCGAATTTAATGTTTTTTTATCGGTTTTTTGATCGCACCCCGGTGCCGTCTCTCCGACCGGTGCCATCTCTCTGGCCGGTGCCAACTCTCCGACTATTACGGTAGTGAGCCATCCAAGAAGGTGCAGCCGCCGTTGGAAGATGACAAATAATTCCATCATGAACGAACGAACTGTTTGTTTATGAGACGTGACGCAACAGATAGATAGAGCCAGCGCGACTTTCTTTGAAGAGAACAAAAGCGAAATCGAGTGAATAGTACTCCGCAACAAGGTACAGCGTCCTGACCACAACACGGTGTTGTTGTTGTTGTTGTTGTTGTTGTTTTTCTTCACATTAAACTCGTGTCAGTTGCTAATCCCAAAATCTAGCAAAGACTCGGCCCGTGGTCACAAAAATGCTAATAAAGCCATCGGTGGGCCGCCGCTGTTGGTTGGTTGTAAAACGCTCTTGATCGAAGATCGCAGGCGCTTGACCCTGCTTCAACACGGCGGTGGAGACCCGCTACTGTACAAGAAGCGAACACTTTATTCAGGTGTTTCTCTTGTTTCTTTTAAGTCTAGAGTGGCGACATTCATGATATTGGCTGGCGCAAAGGGGTTGAAGGAGGGCAAGGATGCCAGCCTGCGGCACAACAGCAGTAGTAGTTGTAGGCCATCCACATCTAACAACGTCAACGTCCGGAGAGATCGCCGTTTACCTAGATGCAGCCCCCGTTGGGGAGATGATGACATTTCAACATGTTGAACGAACGCAGCAGTTAATAAGCCAGCGCGACGCTCAACGGTGGGTGCAGCAGCAGCCCAACAGAGCAAATAGCGAGGTACAACGTCCTGACGCAAGTTGGGCCGCTGTTATTTAGTGGCTGTGCACCGCTCTTTGTCGAAGATGGCACGCGCTTCGCCCTGTTTCAACACCATCACGGAGAATTATACACACGAAGCGGGACACCATCATCTTGCGAACACGTATTTTCTGTGTCTTGTTTACACAGCGATACGAATAGACTACGTACATGCAGGCAACCCGAAAACGCAAGCCGTTTTAGGATGGTGAGGGCAACGTACAAAATCCGAGCGCTTGAAACCCACCAGTAGGCAGCCCTTGGAGTAGTATGCGTACATTTTTTCCCTCTTTTTCCCGTGTCTATTTTCCTGCTCCACCGTTCTCGAAGCTTACGAATCCACGTTGCGGTTCTTCTATTGCATGGCTTCATTAGAAGCCTAAATCAAACGATTAGACTAGTCAACGTTGTTACCGGTTTGATTTCGGCTTCTAAACGGTCAACCCAACGGGATCGTTCCGCGCGCCGGTGTTTCCGCCTCGAGTGACAGACAGCAGTCAACAACCACAGGTAGGTTAGGTGCCACAACTCGCCAGGTACCCAAAAAAAGTATAAATTGACGGGAAATTACCAGAGGCCTTCGTGTTAGGCCCCCTAAAGATCGATCTCTATCTTCGAAGTGTGAGCGTGATACACACTAACGCTGGCTGTCCTATTTTGTCCAACTCAAGTAAAAGGTGGTGAAATATTCCAAGGGGAAAAAATCAACAATTAGTACCGCCCACGTGCCAGGATCAACAGCGGGGATGGAAGAAGCAGGGGGGTGGCGGTTGTCCGCCTCGCCCGTGTTCGACATTACCCCGCAACACCTCCACAGCATCAAGCACCGAACGACTTTCCCATCCAACCACAATTCATCCAAACAGTCAGGCCAAGGGAACCTCGATGCTTGCACCTACAGTGCATATCGCGACAGGATTCTGATTGTGGCACGAAGACGGGGAAGTACCAAAACTCTCTTGGCAAAAGAGCCAAACCACAACAGCGACTGCCAAACACGCAGGGTGGGGGGGCATCGCATTTCTCCCGGGGATCAATCCTGCATCGCATTAGGGCTCAGTAACAAACACTAGGTACATGTAACGTGGAACACAACCCCTGAGAAGTATGCCACAAAAGGAGGACTTCAATGACCTATGGGCTGTGCTGAGCTCCTCTCCGCAATAACCCGACACGCGAAAAACACACAAACGGGCAGGCTCTAGTTCGATCTCCTCCGCCCTTCAAGCTGCAACACACGAAGCAAAAAAATGAAACAACACTGCCCTGAGTGCGGGCGTCTCTCAAAAACTACCACTTACATAATATTTTGTGTACATATCGACAATCCACGAGAGCGGGAACAACAACAACAGGTGCGTGTCGGATCAAACCACGAGGGACACACACACCGATCGTGGTCGATGCTTCGAAGAACCAAACTAGACTATACGCTGCCACAACAACAACATCGACCACGCCTATATTCCGGTTGACCCACCCTTAAAATCTTTTCAGTCCCAACACCATAAACAATTGACGGCTGCGCTCGGAACAAAAAACGCCCGTCGTCCATCATGCGCTCCGGACCTCGAAAGACTTAACGCTCGTCGTTTCTATTATGGACAGCGTGGTCATCAGTGACTGTTGACAACCTTGGCAGCCGCCGCAAACATGGCCGCGAGCACCCCTCCTACCGCAATCGCTCCGCCGAGGAGCACCCCGGTGTCCTCGATAAGCCCGCTCCCTTCCAACCTTCTCTCGCCGACGTGCCGCATGTCCGAAGACGGCGGGAGCTTCCTCACTCGATCCGCCCTGTGCTCGAACCGCACGTGCTGCTGGTGCTCCTCCTCCTGCTCCTCCTGCCCCCCCCCCCCCCCCCCCCAAAAATGCAATCTCCTTGCCGCGCTCCCTTCCCGGCCGCCGATTTCGGCCATCCTGGCGTCGTAGAGATCTGCCAAGGGTATGGAAGAACGCCATCGGGGCGTTGTAGGTGAAGACGGAGAGGCGGGAGAGGGGACCGCCGCGTAGGGAGAGCATGTCCGGCTCCGGGCGGCGGACGGCGGGGTCGGCGGCTTCCTCCTTCCCGCCAACCTGGTGTGGAAAAAAAAACGAAAAAACACGCCGGAGAGTGCAAAAAAAAAAAAAAAAAAACACCCCGGCATAAGAGAGAGGCAAACAGAAAAGAGTGGGTGGACGGGCGTGGAAACACACATACGTGCCGTTCGCTTCATGAAAAGACATAGCTCGCCTCCCCCCCCCCAAAAAAAAAAAAAAAAGCACCAGCGGTAACAAACACTAAAGGGCGGGCGTCAGCTGTATGAGCTTGGGAACGTCACAACTGGCAGCTGACAGCCAGCTGTGGGCCGGGTCTGCTGCCTGCTATTATTAAAATCTTGCATCACCTCTTGATCTTGATGATAAAGTTCTTTCATGACCCCATCCCGGAGGGATGGCTTGGATGGCACAAAAACATAAAAACGGAGTAGGCCACGTCAGGTGGGTAAAACACCTCCACAGACTTAACACAACCACAGCAGATACAACACCCCAGCAGTGCGACCAGAACGCTACGTAGGTACACATCGAGCCGCAGAACACTACAGCAGAGTCAATTTCAACCGGCCGATCAGAACGCTACGCATGTAGGTATGCTACTACTATACATGCTACACACCGATGAATCTCCGAGGAGAAGGCGCGAAGCGGCTGTGGTAGCGACGGCACCCCCCTTACTGTGCCCCGTCAGCCAGACCCGGTTGCCGGCGTTCAGCTGCCGCCAGATGAGGCCCCGCAGGTTGTCTTTGGGGCCGTCCGGCTTGTCCCCGGGCACCTTCCAGACCTGTTGGTTCACGTTGTGGGTGCGGGGGCGCGATTCAGGGTTGCCGGTGGTGGGAGGGAGGGAGCACGCAGAGCGGCCACTATCAGCGACATGCCTGGAGTTGGGGTGAGGGGTGTTCGCAGCTATAGCAGGACTGCTGTACCATTCGGATTTTCCTGCAATAGTCGGATCTTCGTCGAGTTCGTGCTTTGTTTTCAGAGACTTGCACTAAAATAGGGAAAGCATGGTAGCGTCAAACACAAGGTACCTTATATAATAGCTAACAAGGTACCAGGGATGATATATCTACCAAGACAGTCACAACTGCAGTCGTCTGCTCTTGGGTACACGGAGAGGTTTTGGAAGAATCCATATCGATTTGACGGTTCATGTCGCGCCGTGAGCGGAGACTGTCGGGGCACCATGATTGATGCACGGGGCCCCGTGTGTGATCGGGAGTTTCGAGTTTTCGATTTTTCCAAAACAGAAACAATGGAGGCATGCGCCTGGAAAGGAATGATGTTGTGTGACCCCGGATACTATAGGAGGCCTTCGGTGAGGCTGTGCGGTAGGTATCTAGATCGGCCGTTTATGGATGGATGGCGACGACCACCACCAGCACGCAATTGGAATGCTTGGTGGGGTTCTGGGTGCTGACTTCATCCCAGAGGGAACCGAAGAACGGTCCGGGAACGTCCCTCAATTTTGAAGTTTTATGAGCACACGATATTTGCAAAATGATCGCTTCTTGGAGCTCTTGTCTCCCATCCTATGTACAGCCATCCAGAAACAATCTGCATTCTAGAGGGCGTAATATGAGTGTCTCAAACATGGCGCATACGGCGGTGTGCTTATTATCTGATCGGGAGACCTTGTTCCCAAAACATTCCGTTCTCTGATTACTTTCGGCGATCACTGCTCTGCTGTCGTATCGCACACCGCTACCGATTTCGTGGAACCTATTGCATGTACGAAAACAGCCACTCGCTACCTCCTGCTCGTGATGTACACATCAGCAGCCGGAGCAGCAGGTTTGGCAAGACCGGCCGCACGCATCGAAAGCGCAAACACGCGTACGAACCTCGTCCAAAGTCAGGCTCCACACGCCGAAGACCTTGAGGTTTGTGCCTGGAGCCTCGCCTGCCGAACAAGAAGCACATGGTACAGGATGGATAGAATACGCGGGCAGTACAGGAAGGGATATGAGTACGAGCGTACACGAGATGTGTGACGGTTGTCACGGGAGTGAAATAAAGGCATCAGCATCCCACAGACAGACCTCGTTTACACGTGTAGATTACGGTCTACGGCGTTTTCCATCAACAGCAGTCTAGACACGTGCCGACTTTGTACAACTGACAGTCAGGGCTATTCGGATGAACACACACCAGCAGTGCAGTCGGCGCCTCTCTCACCGTCGTGTGGAATCAATCGCTGTTTGAAATATTTCTGCGGGTACTCGAGCCACTCGTCGTTGCCGATGGTCGCGCGGAAGGCCACGATAAGGACGTCCGCGGCATCCACGACAAACCTCGCCGCTGCGGCCTTGAAGCCCTCTCCTCGCGGAGCTCGCCAAGCTTGAACAATCGTCAGCCCGTGCTTGGCGGCGTGGCTCTCGAGTCCTTCGAGAGTGGTCTCCTTGACAGCCCAGCAGAGCTCCCTGCTGATCGCCTTCTTGTACTCTAGATCGTCCGCGGCTTGCCTTGCCATGGTGCGCTCGTCAGTCGTGAGAGAGCTTCGTTTTGCCTCTTGCTGGCCGTGTCGATGCTGCGCACCGGCAAGCTTGGTTGCACCCGTGGGGGATGCACAGATGTACTCGCGGAGAAAATGTGTACCCATCGTATTTAACGCGTAATTCTCTGCGTATCCCCTTGAATTTACCCTCCGAGTTTCAAGCACACACAGGCAAGAAGCACAGAGGAGGGGTGTAGCAGCCAGGGAGAGGAACGGCCATGGTGCTCACCTACTCTTGCGCGCTGCTTGCGCTGACATTGTGTGCCACACCGCCGTCCCTGGGATCGGCGAAGACTGCCGCAGGCTACCGCGCCGCTGCCACTCTGCAACGGCAACAACATCAGCGCCGGAGCGGGCGGCTTGGCGCCAACGACGGCGCGGAGGCGGGACGGTCGCTTTTGGAGCACCCACAGGCGGCTGCTACACCAGCAGCCCACATCAGGCGACGAGATAAGAACTCGTGGTGGTGGGGAAGGCGGGGAGGGCTCGGCCGAACCCGTGCTGCTGGTAATGGTCGTTGCGCGGCGAAGGCCACCGGGAAGGAAGCAGCAGCAGCAGCAGCAGCAGCGGACGGGATTCGCTCGACGGGCTTCGAGGCAGCGGTGGGCTTGGCGAGGTGAGAAGCCAGGGAGAGAGTGGTGCAACCCCGCCGGCTGCTGCTGCCGCTGCTGCTACTGCTACTGCTGCTGCTGTTTCATGATGTACGCAACTGCACTGTCGGGTTAAGGTGTTGGTCTTTTTTGCGTTGGCGGGAGTAGTGGGACTGAGGTATGTACTTGAACGTCGCTCAACACATGTTGTAGCCTAGGTCGTCTGGGAACACATGATCACAACGGAGACTGGAGACGTGTTTGGAGGCTTGCTTTTGCAGACAAACATCCCCCCCCGACGCAACCAGACACAGCCATGGTACATAAGGCATGCGCCACTGCTGCTTTGTTGCACGCTTAGGTCTAGCCTGCGAGCATTTCAACGTGTCTGTTGTTGTACGTAAAGGTTGTTCATATGTTGGTCGCTTGTAGGTCGAGCGTAACACGTGGAAGGTCGAATGAGCGGTGCAGCTGGTGTCCACGCCGTCCAACGGTAACGGCAGCAGCAGTACCAGTAGTTGTCCCGACATATCGCGGTCCCGAATAGCGCGGTTCCCGATATATGTTTATGATATTTATCGCAGAAAGAGCTCCTTGCCACAACTGCCTATTATAGCATACTTGTAGCCTCTAATTGCTGTTCAGGGACCTTCCCTCAATAGCGCCGAGGTCTCGATATATATTGCGGTGATATACTGCGAAATATCGGGACCACCGCTGCTGTAGCCGGAACACCTCCAACCCTCACGTTTGGCCCACGGCACGACCAATACAGTACCGCGCTGCCCGTGCGCTTAGTAGCACGGTGGACGAAAAAATTTCCACTTGCATCAACGTCCTTCATTTGGCTTGACCCCTCCTGGGATGGTACCCCCACCTCCACGGCCGACTTGGGTGGAGGTCACGGAGGCAAACACCTGTAGATGAAAGCACCTTCGAGAATTGGCAGTACGGCAGGGAGGGTGTCCAGCAGAGAACGCCTATTTTCCCAGAGGTTACGTTCCTGATGGTGGAAATTTTGTTACCCGCCGGCATACGGTGTCTGTGCCTTGCTTTATCAGGGGTGGCGGCGGCGGGTACAACTACGACGACGACTACTACGGGGGAGCGGAGGGGGGAGGGGGGGACGACCCTTACTACGAAGACGGGGCGGGGGGGTGGGGGGACGACGGTTGGGGGGTGAGTTCAAAAGCCATACAGTATCTATGTATTTGGTGTTAAAGTGCACTTGCTTGTTTCTGCTGGTGGTGGGTGTTTTTTAGCAGCTTTGAGCCACGGTATGTTACGTGGTTGGGGTTTGTTCGTTTGTTCTTGGAATGGAGCGGGAGGGGAGGGGGGAGGAGGGAAGAGGGCTGGGAAATGCCGATCGGGCGACCGTTTTGTTTTGTGCTACGGCCGTGTCGCTGCCGTTGCTGCGTTATCTACCATGGGTCGATTTAATTCCACTCTCTCTCTCTCTCGCCCGACTATTCGATTTATTTATTTTTTATCGGTGGGATGTATCGCTATCCAGGGGGATGACCGAGGAGGGAGGGGAGATCGATACGACCCGTACGAAGAGAGGAGAGGGAGTTCGAAGAGCGGGGGGCGAGGAAGAGGCAAGAGCGGTGCGGGAGGATTTGACCTGACTGGAACCATAGCCAACGGAAACAAGAGTGAGTTATTTACCCGTCCGCATAACTGCTCGTACATCGCCGATGGGAGTGTCTCTGCTCTCTCTGGCTTGTGACGATGTTCCGACGCAATTTGGAGGCTTGGTATTCGAAGAGGCCAGCATGCTGTGGAAGGATTGTACGCGAGCGAAAACAACCAATTGGGACCCCCTAGGCGTGAACTGTTCTAGCTGTGATTTTCGGGCGAGGGGCGGGGACGTTCGAAGAGCTTGGTGTTTGCAACGGCAATGATTGCGTTACATCATTCACTTACCCCGACTCGGCGATCGCGATTGTGTACTCTGCTTGTTCTAACCTCGTCTCGTACTGACGGACGCAATGCTCACGTGAAACAACTTGGTCTTATCTCTTTCCTTCAGGCAGTGAACGACGCACCTTTTTGCATCTCGTCTTGTTTTTCAGACACTACACCGATTTGTCCTTATCTTGTCTTGTTCTTAATTCGTACACATCTTGTTTTTATATTTTAGACACTGCTGTTAACGGCGTATCTTGTGGTATTTTGTCCTTATCGTATGGACGCGACGGGTCTCGCCTTGTCTATCTTGTTCCCTATCTCGTGTCCTTTTGTCCCAGAGTACTATTTATCTTGCAGACAGTACTTGTATTTTCGACGTTTCTCGTCCTGTCCATCTTCGTCTTGTTCCCTATCTCTCGTCCTCTTGTCTTGTCACGCAGAGTACGGCATCTACGCCTTGGCGGGGTCGGTCCTGCTGACGATGATGGGGGTGTCGCTAATGTTCGAGAAGAACCTCATCCGCTTGGGTAACGTGAGTCAAGTCCATCCATCGCTCGTATGGTCATGGGTGGGGGGGGCGGGGGTCCTCATAGTCGTGCATGTCGTAGTCGTTAGACCATTGACCTCGCATCCCTACGAAGCCGGGACAGAGCACGGCGGGTTCTCACCGGACCAGGCTCTCACATCATAGGGGTGGGGGGAAGGGCGTAGCAACGACTGCTAAGGATGTGGTGGCTTCATGAGAGCTCCTTGATGACGTTGTCCTTGACGGTACCGTTTTCCTTGCCGTTGACGTTGTCCTTGATGCTGTCCTTGCGAAAGCTCGGGTTTGTGGCGGGCATGTCGCTCTTCATCGGCCCCAGCAACGTCGTGCGGTACTTCACTCAGGTATGCATAGGATTGTTTTCTTTTTTCGTTTCGGGTAAAGTACTGCTGTAGTCAGTCACTGCTTGCTGATTGGACCGTGTCTTGGGCATCGAGAGTAAGGTGTTGTGGGCAATAGGCCACAGTTGGACCTTTCGTCCATATGTACATACCTTTACCGCACTGGGGTGGGAAAACATGTTGTAGCTAGCGAAAGGCAATCGTTTGACCCGACCCCCCGCGGTCTTGTTGTCAAGTTTTAGCTACACAACAAGGTTCGGTCGTCTTGGAGAGATGCAAACCCAGTGGTCCCACATTCACGCAAGCATTGACTGAGAGTACCCGCCCCCTCCTCTGTGTCAAGTTTTAGTTTCAGCAACACAACAATGCTCGGTCGTCTTGGAGAGATGCATACCCAGTGGTCCCACATTCACGCAAGCAATGACTGAGAGTACTTCAGCATCAAGTTTTAGCTGAGACGATGCCGGGTCGTAAGAGAGATGCATACCCAATGGTCAACATGACCCGAGAGTACCCCGCCCCCTCCCTGGTGAACGCCTTCTGTTTCTCGTGGTGTATGGGTCCTTGCGCTGAATAGGCCTCTAAGCTCAGGGGATCCGTCATTTTTGCGGTGGGTTTCTTCTTCGTATTCACGGGGCACCCTATCATTGGCCTCGCCATCGAGGTCTTCGGGTTCCTGAACCTCTTCGGGTGAGAAAAGGAAGGAAGCAAAAACGAAAAAGAGAAAGACAAAAAAAGAGAAGAGAGGAAAAACAAAACAAAAAGAAAGGAAAAAGTCGATGAAAAAAAGAAGGACAACATAGGGAAGGAAAACAAAAGGGATGGAATAATATTAGAACGAAAAGAAAACAATGGTGGAGCAAACCGTAGAAATTCAAGTTGGTCGTCAAATAACACTTATTATTTCGTTGGTAATCTAACTCGCAGACTCTTATCTGAGGAAGAGATAAATTATTCTGATCTGTTGTTGTAAGAAAATAAGGAAGAATACGGCCCTCGGCGCCTCGCTGCTGCTTCATCGTGATGCCGCTGCATGGCCGGGACTCAGGAGACCACCCCCCCCCCGCTCTTTGTGCCAGCCTGTTTCCATATCGAGTGCTTTCCCGTGGTGTGTTCATCGATCCTTGCCATGGAAGACCATGCCTCTTTTTGTGCGTTGGCCTAGTTTCCGTCGAATGTTTCGGGCTCCTCGGCTTATTTTTGGTAGGCCAAAAATGGCGAGCGAACAACAGCACATATTTGAAGCATTCGGTTTCTCGTCGGCAAACTGCTCATTCATGTAACCCGGGATCGGTTGGATGAAGTTCTGCCGCCGGTTTGTGTTCACTCACGCCTTGATTTTCTTGGCAATGGAGCACCCCTCCTCCCTCCCTCTCCCCCTCTCTTTGCCGTTATTTTCTCGTGGCTTGTTCAGAAACATGTTGCCGATGGTGTGGGCTATGGCGAGCAACATGCCCTTCATCAAGGAAATCATGGGCAGGTGAGCTTGGCCCAACAACCTCTATTTTTTTCGTCGTGACGGTAGTTGTGATTGGTCTTTGACTGCTGTGCATACAAATATAGTCGAATAATTCGTTTGAGGAATTATTAAATTATTTGCTTGCACACCCAAAATCGGTCGGTGTTAATGTTTTCTCTCATGAAACTCCCGCAGCAGGCACACCCAGAAAGCAGGGCAAGATCTTGTACGTTTTGCTCCAGCCGCAATGACTGAGGGTTTGTTCCCCATGTGTCCCTCCCCCTCCCACCCGTTTCCTTTCCAAACGAACGAACCAACCAACGAACGACCAAACTCGTTAATCAGCGGGTCCTCAAAGGGGAAGAAAGGACGGAGCGGCAAAAGCAGCAGACAGAAGCGATCTTCCCGCGCGGCGCCTTCGCGCGACGACTACGACTACGACCGACAGGGCGGAGGCTACGGCTACGATGACGACGGTTGGGACAATGGAGGCGGCGGCGGCGGCGGCGGCGGCCGGTGGGGGGGCTACGACGAGTAAATAAGCCTTTTTTCCTCCGCTGATGTTGTCATGGACGCGTTCCTACTGTCTTCCTTCCCACTAACGTTGGTTGTGGGGCTCTGTGGCTTGGCTTTTCTGTGTGAGGGGGAGCGGGCGGGCGGGGGGGGGGGGTATTGAAAATGAAAACTAGTTCAGGCGCCGACCAATCAATGTCTGCTGAGATTGATCTTGATGTTTGGGCAGCGATGGCGCTTGGTTTTGGGGGGGGGGGGGGCATCATGACCACCGTGTATCGTGGCGCCTGCCTGTGTTGTCTCGCACTCTTGTGTTGTAGTTGGTACAGACCTTCTTTTCCGATGGCACCGAACAGTCGTTTGCAGTACAATATGCCTTGAAGAGAACGTGGAGCAGCTGGGGTGCAACGCAGTGGTCCTTCTGTGCCTATACCAGACAAAAGGGGGGTGCCGTGTTTGGAGTCAAATCAATCCTCTTGACCCGAAGGGATGCATGTTGTCCGGTGTTGTTTCATACCCGCCCAGCACTTTTGGCGTTGGTCGCTGTCAAGTCCATGCTGTGTGTGGTGTTTGGAAGTTTTAGTTTTTCCCCTACTTGCCTACATGTAGGCGGGAGATTCGGAGGTAACGACGTTACTGCTGTCGCGTGTTGCCGCGCTGCCTGTGCTGGTGTGCTGGCGCACAACCAGCTACCTTCTTTATACTGCTACGATCCTGTTGTTTTCGTTTGTACTTCTCACCAGTTTTTCGGGATTTCGTCACGACTTTTTGTTGTCCTGGAACCCAACGTCGCGCTGAACGATATGGTTGTGCTTACTGCGTGTCTTGTCTGTTTTTTTAGTGGGTATACGTATAGCAGTTATATGTTGTGTTGATTGTGAAACGTGCTGCTAAGGATGCGTGCAATGTCCTCCGAAATTCTTCACAATTCGTCATTCGCATGATTGACACACACAACGTTTTTCATCTGAAGAAAAACAGCGGACAAGTTTGTTTCCCGTCATGATGTCATCCTTGCCTGCAGATTTTGAGTCGTTTTTGTCACTTTTCCACTCGGACAAACATGCACAGCAATCCTGAGGCACCCTTTGTAGCTACGAAAATCATCGCGTGTAGACCGGCACGACCAACACCCGGAACTAGCACGCCTCGCCCTTGTACCTCTTGAGGAGAAAATCAACGGGGCTTCAGAGTCTGGTCGGGGCTACTCCCGGCCTACTTTGTTTCCGGACTGGCCAACGGTGGACCATGAGTTCTCTCAAACGTCAGGTACAAGTACGTCACGCTCTCCCGTGTCGCCTGCCCCTGTGCTGTGCGATTTATCCATCGCCCCTCTCGAGACGTACGTACGTGCTAGACACTGCCGGTGGTACGGCTGAGAGCACGTCAGATAGATGGACCTACACCTCGAGTTTTGTGGACCGTGAACGCTTCGGCGCACTGCTGTATTCGTGCTTGTCACGCGCACCACCTCTTGCGTCTCACAGCGTGGGCGCGGGCTCCATCTTCTCCAGTAACAAAGCGATCACGCCCCTGCGCTTCGCTTTTGTCGAATCTCCTTAAACTTGCGCGCGCATCTCGACGACGACTCCGCTCCTCTTACTCGCTGGGGGCAACGATACACCTATCTCTCACATTCGCGGCGACGACGAATGTTACATACATGTTTTGCTGCCACCCTGTGTGTGTTGTGTGTGCGCTTCGTGACCCTACTCGGTTTTCTCTGTCAACCGAGGCAAAAAGCAAGTCTCAATCCAAGAACGATTCGTTCCGAAACGAGCTGTAGAGAAGCAAGTGCGGAATTTTCCAAGCGATTCTCAGCCGCAAACTCAGTGCAGAATTATTGGTGGGTGCCTGCGCCTGGTCTCCTCGTCGCCACGTCACGAGCAGCTGGACAAGGAGAAGGCAACGCCTGCGCTCCCGTTCCACACAACGATACAAGCACGCCTGACCGCATGCAGTTCTCAACCCCAGCAGAAAGTCAGCAACCTGGAGAGAAAAATCGTGACGGGGGCTGATAGGTTGATACCGCAAAAACCGGTTCACAACCCCCCCCGGCCCTTATCCATTGGGACCCCCCCCCCCATGGCCCACCTACCGGGAACACACAAATCAGGGCAAAACAACCTAACAACCATGTGCTACCGCCCCACCATCGGAGGTATAGATAGATAAGGTCCAGCGGGCCAATCTCCAAACTTGCCATTCCAACGTGCGATCAACACTAAATTCCTGACAACTAAAAAAGGGGAAGACTTATCTAGACTTAGGCAAGAGCGATCTCCTTGACGGTGGAAGGAGCGGCGCACGAGATGTCAACCGCTGGCCTCAATTCGCTGCAAACCTGCAAGGCGAGCGCAGCAACCACAAAAGGGACAAGCATACATGTCGTTGGTGAGCATATTATTTGTTCTCCTTCCGCAGGGGGAGGGGGGGGGGGGAGGAGAGGAACCCTTGTAGGGTCGCGACCACCGACTACTCCGTGAGGGGACAGGGATTCTCCGTCAACAACGATACAGCAGTACTCTGGCAAGTTGCGAACACTCGAGGCGTCAGGTATAGTAATGGATCTACACAACACCAACAAAGGAACTACCGACGGCAAGTGGCGGGAGGGAAAGTGCTTGACAAGGTGTCACAGGGAGAATAATCCACTAGCCCAGCTCGATGTACAACGCCATGCCACCTCAGGTAATCCCGAAAGACTGAAAAACACGACTGGGATACACGGGAACGTTACACAGTTATGATAACACTTGCCACACGAAAGTGCTGCCGACAATAACATGTGTTGTACAACAACGTCCTTAGATGTGTACACTGCTGCAGCGGAACCCAGAGCGCCATCAAAGCTTGCACCCACCAGCCAGCCCCACACACATGGCATCAGTCACGACCACTCACCCTGATGGCGTCGTGTACCGGGTTCTCCAAGAAGTCGGAGATGAGGCTGTCGTCTACAGCCGACCCGTTGTCGACCGCGGTGTACGCCAACTGCTCCAGGATGTAGTCGAAACGGGGTGCCCACTTCCGGGACCCCAGGCGAGCGGTGATGGAGCAGTTGTCCACCATGAAGGCCACACCCTGTGTGCCAGCCATTACGCCCAACACGCGGGCGGGGCGCCGGGGGATGGGGGGGTAAGAGAGGGTAAGGGTTTCCCGCATTTGCCTTTACAGGGGAAAGCTGTCCGGACTGACAAAGTCAAGATGAATCTGTCTGTTGCTCCAGACAACTGGTAAAAAATGTCTCGGGTTGGTGTTTCCGCGAAAACAATTCCACGTGGCATCTTATCCACGTACCGAACAAGCCTGTCGCACAATAAAATCACCTACGATAATCAAACCGAGGGAGATCGAGAAGAATCAGCTCGTTTGTGCAATCGGGTGGCACATCTTCTCAGCTTGCCGCTGTGCCACCGCAGACACAAGTCTCCTCCCCACCCCTTCTCCCATCAACGTCATCCTCGTTTGGCGACATCCCCCGCCCCCCAGCTTCCGCCGTCCCCCCCTATTCTCTCCGCCACCGGCCCGCCCGCCCCGTGAAAACAAAACAAAAATAAAATGTGGCGAAATAACCGCCTCTTCGGAGACGGACGCACCTTGTAGTGCATGTACGGGCACAACGAGTCGACGGCCTCGATGACGGATTCGTTCACGATCTCGGTGTACGAGTGGCCTCCCTCCTTCAGGACGTCGATCTGGGCCATCATCGTCGCCACGTAGACGCCCGCGGTGAAGGGGTTGAGGGGGATCTCCTCCTCCACGCGGTCCGCCCGGACCTGCTCTCCCACCTAGGGAGAGGGAGAGGGAGGGGGAGGGGGAGGGGGAGGGGGAGAGGTACAGAAAGAGATGGAGAGAAAGGAAGAGACAGAGACAAAGAGAGAGACGTGCAGTTAGAGGATACGCGGAGGAATGACGCGTACAAAAACAGCGGCAACGAGACCGGAGCGTACACGTTCGAAGCAACACGGCCACAAGCCGTATACCTCTACCTCCTTTGCCGGGGTACTGCTGTAGTTGCGAGCGTTTCTCCTTGCCTCTCTGGTGCAATTTTCGGCAAGGCTGTTAATATCCAGCCTTATCGGCACTCCCAAGGTTACTTTCTACTTTCTACTAACGTTACACCCTCCCTCTTCCCCCCCCACCCAGCCGTGAGCCATGACCGACGCAACTGCCAAAAAAAAAAAAGACACTTATCTCACCTTCCAGGTGAAGGTTCCGTCGATCTTTCCGGTGTTGATGTCGTTCAGGCGCGCCCCCTGCATCACCACGGAGCGGATCTCGTTGCCGCTGCGGACCTCGTTGTAGCACTCCTGCATGATCTCCTTCGCGGGAGCGTAGCATGCCGAGTAGACCGACTGTATCATTGCCGTTGTTTTTTGGGACGGGGGGGGGGGGGCGGAGGGGGCGGAGGGGGGAGTCCGGTCAGTGTACGAGCAAAGGATTGAGAGAGGCAGACCGGCAGACAGATATGGAGCGAGAGGTAGAGATAGACAGATGGAAAGAGACAAGGGCAGACAGAGGGAACGACCAGGGTGTCACGGCAGTTGTTACAATCGCAAACTGAACGGTAACACCCCCGACGTTCTTCGTTCAGGCTGGGGTGGAGACGAGCGAGAGGCTCTAACACCCTTGTGTGACCCATCGCACGACAACAAATACAACAGTGCGAACGTGTACACGGCAGCATCGCAAACCCCCTTTTCCCTTCTGCAGTGACCCTGCTTGCGTGCTTGCTGCCCGTGCTTGCTTGCCTTAAACTCGTCCTTTCCGGCCTGGTCGAGGCTCTCGTACAGCTTGAGGATGCCCATCTTGCTGATGCCCTTGGTGATGGGGCCCGTGATGGACTCGGAGGACTGCTTGAAGGCCTCCTCGGGGCTCATGCCCTGCACAATCACGTCATCACCCATTGGTAAAAAAAAAAACAGAATCAATCAAATCCGCGTTCCAAACAACGCCATGATCAACAAGAAACTCAGAGTAACGTCATCACCCATTGGGTAAAACACTCAACAGTGAAACGTGTGAACAATGTCATCATCAACAGGAAAGAATCATCAAAAGCGATACACATGAGTCACCGAATCAGCAGTACACCCAAGGACGAACCTACTTGTGCATCCACCCGCCGGTCAGACCAAGCTGCGGACCACGAGGCGTCGTCATCTTTTGCAAAAAAAAAAAAACACCGAAGAAGAACAGCAGCACTTTCGGAACAGGGTTCTTCTACTTCTTCTCACCAAAAGCACTACTGCTATAGCAATACGAAACGTCCCCCTTGACATCAATCTCCGATAAACATCTCCGACAAGCCCATTCCTAGAAGCAGAGCACCCCGTTACACAACCCGTGCTCTGAGAGAGCGCACCCCTTGCCCTCTATCGACACCCCCACCGCACCGACTCACCTGCTTGACGAAGCGGCGGAACAGGGTCTCGATGATGCCGTGCACGGCCCCCAGGAGGATGCCGCGTTCTCCGTAGATGTCGCTGCGGTACTCGTCGGTCAGGGTGGTGGGGAAGGAGAAGGGGGAGCCGAGGGCGATCGACCAGCCCAGAGCGATGTCCGTGGCCTTGCCGGTCACGTCCTGTTCCGGTGGTCCCGCAGCAGGCGGCGGAGGAAGAAGAAGATGACGACAGCCGACGCCAAAAAGACACGGTCATCATCCCAAAGCAAGGACGACGACGATCACGATGGCATGAAACGAAGCCATTTAGAAAAAAATGCTCGCAAGGGAAGTGGTCGGGGGGCGTACCCGTAGTCGAGCGTACGCTTTAAAAGAGGACATTTGGGGAGTAGCATTGGAATGGTGCGTTGCCATGGGCGATGTTAGACGCCGCGTTTCGACGTCATGATGAGGTGTGGTAGGAGCTACAATACTCCGAACCTCATGCCCCATGTGTTTCAGTGTGCGATATAGCTGCTCTAGTGTGTGCTGGAATATGGACGGCATGGTGTACGCAAAGGCAACGCAAAAATAAAAATGCACCCACACAACAGCAGAAAAAGGAAAGCAGCAACGAACCTGCCTCATCCGTGGTCGGGCTAACTCCACACGGCACCTACGGAAGGAGACAGCAGTAGAGAAGTGCAAATCTCCTTTAGGATCCCCCTCCCTTCCCTTCCCCCACCTGGTGCACGGCGAAGGAAGCGTTGATGCCGGAGCCGTTAACGGTCTTGCCCTGCTCGTACAGCCGGCGGACCGAGGGCCCCATGCCCTTGGGGCACACGGCCACGACGTTGATGTCGTCGGGGAACTTCTTCCCGAGGGCGTCCAGGTGTCCCAGCAAGAAACCGTGGGACAGTCCAAGGGTAGCGCCCTGCGTTCCACGACAAAGATAATAACCGTTGTAAACGCAGAATGTTTGGTTGGGGGGAGGGGGGTACTCATAATTTGCATGCCTCAGGGGTTCGACCATGACCACGCGTCCTCGAGAGGACGGAGCCTGAATTGTGGGAGGGACGGGGTGCATATATCCCGCCCGCTTGGTAACAAAGCAATTCCAAAACCGTTGGTTTGCCGCGCAGTGTGGCGCAGAGGGCCAGCACGAGGGTCGACAAGACTCCACAGTCACGCACGACTCTAGCCCCTCGTTCTTCCGCGCGCGCGCGTGTGCGTGTCTCGTCGTCGTGTGGTATGTACATACATCAAGCCGCGTAGCATCGCACATGATCGCCAGGGCAACATAGCTGAAACGACAGATGATCGATCGTCAAGGATTCAGAATACTTGTACCGGGGACAACAATCAATCCAACGGCAAAGGCTGCATGCCCTCACGCGGCTGGCCAACGATATCGCGTCAATCGCAGACACATACCCAGACCTTCTTGAGGACATGCCCAGAATCTTCTGAGGCCGTCCCTCCGTCCCTCCCTCACCTTCTTCAGCTTGGAGAAGACCTTCTCGTGGTTGGAGGCCATGGCGGAGTCGGAGATGAGCAGGATCACCAGGTCGCTCTCCTCGATCGTCTCGTACCTGTCGCCGTCGTTCACAACCCGTCGTGGCAAGGACATAAGATAAAGCCATGACGACCACAACTCCCGGGTCCCGAAAAAAAAAAAGAAGGGGGGAGGACTTCCAAGAGGATCGTCTCATGGGGACCCTCCTTATCGAAAGAATGCCCAACTAACGGACGGGTCAAAAGCATACCGGACTTATGAACCCGAGAGTATCCCGGTTTCTATCGGGCCCGGTTTCTTTCGATGAAACTCGGAGGGAACTCAACGGAAGTCATGACCAGGAAATGGGCAATCCCACGGTTTCAATGGCATCAACACCGATCCTCGACGAGATCGCCTCGGTACCAAGACATATCATACCCACAGAAGACACGCGCTGCGGACAGACAGAGAGGTGGAAAACGGAGTCTTACATCTCTCCGAGCGTTCCGTTGTCCTCCGAGAAGCCAACGTTCTGCGCCAGCTTGTAGGAAGCCGACCCCTCCCTGAGCCCGATCTTGACCTGATACAACGGCAACAGCCGGCAATACACCACCGTACGTTTCGTCAACACGCCGCGGAGATTGTGCTTCTTTCTTCTACAAACGGACAGAGTTGGACGTTTCGACAGCAATAAAGAGGGTCTACACTCGGCACCACATGTAGCACATACGTCAGAAGCGGCGTGAGGTCAACGGGAACGACTAGCAGTGCTACATGGTAGGCATACGCACTACCTAAATGGGGGACCCAAGTTCTCGGGTTTTTTTTTTTTCGAGAACGGTAAGCGCCTCTCCCCAGAAGAACATCACAGCGATCAGCCCTTATATTGGATGTGTGTGCTGGAATGGAACAACAAAAATGTGAAGAGCTGTCACAACCAAAGGCGGTAGCAGTCTCAACACAGACAAAACCGATCGAGAGAAAGTCCATTCGTTCGCTTCCCAATAGCAAATGCAGTCACTTCCTCGAGATACGACGCTCAAACAGAAGGCGAAACCAATGCACCAGCGGCACGCGACAACACAAAATAATCCACCAGGTCAACAGCCGTGTACTGCAGGACCCATCCATGTCGCAGTGTTCCCCATGGACCGCCCCAGCAGACACGTACCATTCGCGGAGAAAATTCCAACCCAGACCATACCATCCCGGGGGACATATCCAATCCCTCCGTCTGAATGGCGAGGGCTAACAACATGAGTCGGATTTACCACCTTGACTACAAGTGTCGATATCTCGACCATGACACAAGCCGTACTGATATCCCATATAGGCCATATCCCCTGCATGGGCAAAAACCCGTCCAGTCCCGTCACAATATCATATCTCATCACATCCCATTTTCCGCAAAAAAAAACGTCCCGTCTCATTCTCCTCACCGGGATGTCGACGCCCGCCGCCTCCAGCGAGTCCCGGATGTTCTGCGCCTGTGCGGGCGCCTGCGACCCCCATCCCACCACCTGTTGAACCGGAGAAAAAACGCAAACGCGATAGCGATACGGGGCCTCAAACATCTCAAATGACGGTAACCGCCACACGTGGGCGATCTTTGGGGATGGATGGAGATACGTTCCCATCAACGCCCCACAGAACTCTTCTCTGTTTAACGCACGCGCAAATAACCACAGGCAAGGGTACTACTACACCTCCCGTTTGAACCCTGTGGTACCCTACAACCCAAACACCGTTGACTGTGTTAAGAGGTTAGGTTGGCCGGCACTTGATCACGCTATGCATGTGACGCATTACCGGTAACTGGGTGAGTTTTCCGACATGGAGACCACCATGGACGCGAAACGTGGTAAACACTACCAGTACTTCAGTATCATAACATTGCAGCAGCCAACGGCACCAAGAAGCAACAAAGAGAAGGGTCTACATCAGCGCCACCACCACCACCACCACCATCCATCTCTACACAAGAATCAGTTACAGGAGCAGCAGTAGACTTGCCCCGATCTTCTCGATGCCTTCGAAGGCCGTCGGCAAGAGCTCGAACAGGTCGCGGCCTCCCTTGACGACGTCCTCCTCGGTCCCCCCCAGGGCGATGCGCTGCTTCTCGAACACCTTCGTCTCAAACCTGCAACGGAAGGGAAAAACGCAGAACGGGTAGTCTTTCTGTGAGGTCATGTTTATCTCTAAAAAACGCAGAGGAAACAGGTGGATACGGCAGTTTCATGTGCCAGTCATCATATGCATCTGTGGTTTTCTTTTTCGATTGCACGACAGGGGGTCTCGTGGAAAATTGGAAGGGGAACCAACGGCGGATTTTGTATGCGTCGAAAGGCAATGGGCTGCGGTTTTATCGCGACATGACGCCGGGTTACCTATAATTACGTGAAAATCCAGATACACACTTGAAGCAGAAAAATGCAACACTACTAATAAAGTTGTGCAGATGAATGCACAACATGTAGATTAACGGGTCTACTGAACTGTTCACACCAACTACTGCTGTAGTCCCCGTATATTGATTGTATCCGCAGCATGCACCACTACACCATAGCCGTGTAGCAGGTGCATGCAAAAGTCGGAGCTGCTTTGTAGCATGGACAAGAGGAGAGGAACCAAGCAAGAGAAGGAGGGTACCTCGAACCCATGCCTACAGCAGTATGCATACATCCAACATCGAGAAGCCTGTGCTAGGTGCTACATATTTTTTGTAGCATGAATATGCAGCTTCGAAGGATGTTCAACTCTTGACTTGTAATCAAATCAACTCTCAAACGGCCAATAGACAACGGCGGTGGCAGCTGGATGGAAGTCCTCCTCGAGACAAGACAAACGCCGCCGCTGCTGGGCCTTTCTTGCGATACGCACTATTCTCTTCTGCACGGTCAAAGAAAGGATGTAACCTACAATACAATACGCAGGCACCACCAGCTTCACCGCTTCCAATTCACTGCAGCCACACGCGCGGTTTGCTTGGTTCACATGTCTTCAACGACGGCACAGTATGCATACATCCAACATCGAGAAGCCTGTGCTAGATACTACACACTTTTTGTAGCATGAATATGCAGCTTCGAAGGATGTTCAACTCTTGACTTGTAATCAAATCAACTCTCAAACGGCCAATAGACAACGGCGGTGGCAGCTGGATGGAAGTCCTCCTCGAGACAAGACAAACGCCGCCGCTGCTGGGCCTTTCTTGCGACACGCACTATTCTCTTCTGCGCGGTCAAAAAAAGGATGTAACCTACAATACAATACGCAGGCACCGCCAGCTTCACCGCTTCCAATTCACTGCAGCCACACGCGCGGTTTGCTTGGTTCACATGTCTTCAACGACGGCACAAATACCGCAGCAGGTAGTATACGTGGCCAAATTCGGAGTTGCCCAACCAAAGACCAAAAATGCAAAGGCGTAGCAGCAGCAGCAATAGTAGGGGCTGGGGAAGACAACGGCATCCAAGCATGAGGCACCCGGTCATGGGTGCGCACCTCCGTGTGACCTCTCCCTCGCGTCACCAAGTCGTGCTAAAACATGACGCGTGGAAAACATCAACAGGGTGGGTTGTTCTAGCGTCTGCTGCATGCCGAGCATATTTCCCGATCATGCAACAACGATCGAAGAGCCTAGGTCCAATCGCCGATCCAACAACGCCCACTCGCCAAACCCTGACAGCAGAGGCTCTTGGGTGACAGAGCACCTAGGTTTTCAGAAGAAGAGGCAAACAAACGTCTGGGCGTGCGGCGGTTGCACCTGCACCAACGCGCAGCAGGCGATCCTTCACAGCCGCAATTTGCTGCTGCTCTCAAGCAAGCACACCGACTACAGCATACCCCACACAAAAACGCCAGCACCCCCAAGCCCAAACGCCAACAAACACACACCGCCTTCGCTCTCCAGAACTCACTCCATGTGCACGCCCATCGAAAGCGCCGTCCGTCCAGAGGCAGCAGCGGTGGTGGCAGCACGCGGAGCGCTGACCGCCCATGGCGACCTGGCGTTGCTCGTCGGGGTGACGGGCTTCACCCAGGAGCCGCTGGGCAAGGGCCCGGTGAAGGCGCTGGCCCCAGCCACCAGCAACGAGCAGCAGACAGCGGTCGACTTCATCTTTCTCTCTTTCGCTCTAATGACTGCTGGTCGTGAGGGGGCGTGTGTTGGACACCGCAGCGAAGAGAGAGCAGGAGGTGGGAGTGCTGTACGGCGGCGCATATTTTTTCGCGGGGGCGACGCATTTCCCTCCCCCCCCCCCCCACGTCAGCTGTGTTCATGATGATCGTGCTTCGATATCAGATGTGATTTGTTCTGCCGCCCCCACTGCAGGATTCATTCATCGTTTCTGGAGAAAACTTCGCGATCTAGAGGCAGAGAGCGCAGGTCGTGGGTAAATACAACAGGGGGGAAACAATTGTTGAACCCTCTCCGTGGGTTAATAAGAGCCAAGCGAGCACAGCAACGCGAAAGGTCGGAAAAAAAAAAAACTCCCGTGCGAACCGGCGGGGGCGCGTCAAGACTAATACATGCTGCTGTAGACTGGCGCCCAGACAGCAGTATGCAGTACATAGATGGAACGAAAAAAACACATACAAACACACATCGGCACACCATACACATTATTTCGTGGGAAACCGTCCTCTTCCGCTCCTCCAGACGGGGCCAGACTCGCGCGTATGCCAAAAAAGGAACGGTTTGTGTTTTGTTGTTACTTCAATGTAGCATCGAACGCGCTGACCGGTGATGGAAGCTTGACGCCAGTCTCGTGCGGTTGAAAACACACAAAACGCTTGAAGGTCATGACCGGCGGTGCGTGTGTGGCCACTCGAAGATAAAGATTCTCATGTTGTTCGGTGATACTGCTGCGAGACGTATGTGTCAGCCAAGCTGATGACGCTTGCTTGTAATTAGTGGCAGTGTGCGTATCTCGAGTAGTGTTCATCCAGCGTCGTCGTTAGTGCTTCGTCGCGTAACTGCTATAATTCTGCAGACACGCGCTTCAACGCGATAAACACCGGCCGTGGCTGCAGAACTAACCACGGCCGGCTTCTCCCTCAAGCCGCTGTTCAATCGCGCCGACAACAAATGCCTCTCGCTTTTCGCATCATCGGCAAGCAACACTGCGAACCCTGATCTTCCGGCGAGCGTGGCGGTTGCTGAAAGATGGGAAGCAGCTGGGAAAAACACATGAAAGTATGGTACTCCGTAATGAGGGACATTTTCAGTGCACAGCCACGCGGGGCACCCACAAAAATGAACTCAAAACCACATATTCGCCGAAAAGGGCTGTACGCGAGCGAAGAGCTTCTAGCGATGCGACAGCACCCTACCCCCACCCCCACCCAACGGTACCCACGGCGTACGCTGTTACAACATCTAGGTCCGTGCGCCATTTCGCAATCCCCTCCCCTGTGCAGAAGCCGGCCCCATACAACAACAACTCGAATCACACAAAAAATCCGAGGTTCTCCGCAGCAACTGCCTACAGCAAAAGCCCGTGTGCCTGCATCCAACACCCCTCAGCGGTGCCGCCAAAGCAATCGCCCCCCAAATGCATGCAGTAGCTATATCTAGCAGCTGATGCCACACACTTCGCCCAAATAAAATCAACCGAGGCACCGCGTGGCCACCTCGTACGTGTCCTTGGACGGCGACGAGTCGCGGATGCGGGCCAACTGCTCCCGCATCAAGCCCTGTCGCTTCTCGTCGAAGCGCCTGTAGGAGCTGAACATCGTCGCCAGACGAGAGGCCACCTGCACAAACCATGGCGGAAACACAAACACACGAATTCGGAAACAGGAGCAGCAGCAGCAACACAGGCAGGCGATGTTTCCATCGGCGGCGAATCTCCGTGGGCATACATCGACAAGAAGACGCAGCGCCTACTAGTGCTTTTTACCAGCCGCTCACGAGAAAAGCGAAACACAGCCGAAAACATATTCTGACGTCATAGATGAAGGGCCTGGGCCGCGGCGGGGGTCGGGTGCATCACGTGCGGCCGCGACACTCCAGTGTGCTCTAGAGGCTTGACCTCCAACCCCATTATCTCTCTCTCCACGTTAACCTCTGTACAAGCCAAGACCAAACCATTAGACTAAATAGTCAGCGGCTGACTAGTCCAACGGGTCATTTGGCTTCTAAACTATATCTCTCACGCCTACACCGATGTCTGCCCCATCCCAATCACCGAAAACACAAGAGCGGAGACACAAATCGTCGAAGCCGAACGAGGAGAGACACACAAGGGGCAGGCAAAACATGAGACAAACTTCAGGCCAGCACGGTGCGCGAAGAACTAGCCGGCTCCCGCTTGTCGCACTCGCCTGCGGGTTGAGCTGGTCCACCTCAAGCACCATGTCCCCCAAGAACTCGTACCCGGACCCGTCCTTGGCATGGAACTTGTGCTGGCTGCCCGCGAAGGAAGATACCACCGACCGGAGGCGGTTAGGGTTCTTGAGTGTGAAGTCCTCGTGCTGCATCAGGTCCTTCACGCGGGAGAGGAGGTCCGGGAGATCCGCCGCGGCCTGGAGTAGTAGGCGGGAGGGAAAACGCGTTGCAGCACATAAGAACCAAAAAAATAAATGAGCACTGCTCGAAACATGAGACAGTCGAATCATCGCTCTCGGCAAGACGTCCACGCTCTAGCTGGTGCGGGTAGGATAACGCGTCGCACGCACGGGACGCAGACAGCAAAAAAAAAAAAAATGCTCGAAAAAAACGCCAATCATAACAGATCAGTCATATCTTGTCCAGAAGCCATTTCCGCATGTGGGTCACCTGCTGGTTAGACTTTAACTTTCAAGAGACGAGATACCGGAAGGCGGTGCAGAAAATGCACGTGGTCCTTCCCATGTCGCCATCTAGTCTACCTCTTGGTCGGCCGGAGAATAGAGAACGCGTCTCGTGTGCGTGTTTTGTCGCTTTGTCCATGTTCTAGAGAGAAGGGCACACATTGCCTCGTTCTTCCTCGGAAGAGTGTTAGCAAAAACCTATTATAGTTGATCACACCCCACTTCAGTCCAACACAGCAATCGCGCGGGGTGTACGTGTGCGAAGGGTACGCAAGAACGGCTGGTGGTGTAGACTACAGCGCCCTCCTCGCCTCTTGCTCCAGCATTTGACGGTTACACGTCTTGTCTTTGTCGTCATGCGTGGTACTTCTCCAAGTATCATACTTTAGCACCACCGTCGCCTGACGAAAGAGATGCGGCAGTAGTTGGCGGGGGTATGTGCGTTCTTTCGACGAACGCTGCTCTTATTCCTGTGCTCACTTCATGCATGTCGCCACCCCCCCCCCCCCCACCC